TTTATAGTAATATTAAGTATTTATTATTCTAATATTTATTTGTGTTATAATTTCCGCGTTTCGCACGTTCAAATTGAGCGTCATTAAAAAAATCAGCTGATAATTGGAACGTCGCGTTGGCGGAGGTATCAGCGGTTCACTTTGGCAATTCATGTCGAGAGACGTGGTTGTAGAAGTCCTTCAACTGATGATGAGCTAAAAGGCTCGAAATCCGGTCGTTGCAAAACAACTTACTGTGAGTAGGAACTATCCTTTTAAAAAGTATTGAACACCACACTCACTCCATCATTTATCATTTCTATAAATATACCAAATTTTTAATTAAGAGAACCAATCAAAACAGTTTTGTTAACATAAATCGGACATACACAATGTAATTACAAACATTTCCTTGAACAAATAATATACTCGTGCATGTTTAACAACAAACAAGAAATTTAAGTTTTACCAGGGAGTGAAACATTTTATTTAAAAATTTCTTTATGCGATTTCATGCAATTTGAAGCTTTTGTTTTTTAATAATTAATTAACAATGTTTATGTTATGTTTCGCTTATGTCTCATTTTGATAAGCAGCATGTTATTATAACATTATATAGTCTTAGCTGATTAAAACATATAATATTTTTAATCCTTGTATAAATTTTGTTAATATTAACATTTATTATATATGATAATAATAATTTTAAATTATTCTGCAACACTATACTTGTCTGAATATAAGTGTGATCTTGATTAAACTGAAAAAGTCAATATAAAATTAATTTGCTTTTCACTGCAGTGTCCTGAAATGTATTGAAAGAAACGTTTAATATACGATCACTTTTTAATTTATCATCTAATTAAATTTAATTCAGTATCTAATAATTATCATTGATGTTGAATAAAGCAGATATTTGATATGATAATCGAAAAGGGTGGTTTTGCTCAAAAACTGAATTTGTTGTGATGCAAAATTTTGAGCTGTAATCAGGATCACCGCAAAAGCAGTTTGTGAACAAAACCACCATTTTCAACTACTGAATTCATATCACTCTATCACAAACTTTTTAAAAAAATGATATAGGGTATTTCTTTTATTTATAAACAATATTTTAAAAAAAACATATTTACTAGTAAGTTTTGCATCATCACAGTTTCTTTTTGTTCGTTAATTTTAAATGAAAATTGATCCACTGAAAAAAGGCAACTTTTAATAAAAAGTATCAAAAAGGTAATTTTAATTAAAACAATTATTATTGTGCTTTAAAATAACAATAGTGGTGCAGAAGCAAGATTAAAGCTAAGCAGTTCGTTCATTGTTTCACACATTGATCTTCACAGCAAGAAAAAAAATTACAGAACATATATACAACACGATAAACAATTGATTAGATTTTGAAAACTGACAAGACAACAGTGATTGATAATACAAATAAATAGACAGAGATTTGTTTCGAAGAAAAACATTATGCAACGGATTTAAAAAGCACATCATTTTTAGTGTGTTATGGTAATCAGCATCACACTTACATTCTGCGACAAAGTACTGTTGTAATCAGTACTGTTGTTTGTAGAGCAGTTAGAACCATGAGAATTTCCCAGAGCTGTACTTACATCTTCATCATGATCGAAAGCATTGAAGACATCGTAAGGTAGGCATGATAGCAAATCTATCACAAACCACGATCTGAGGTAATTCATCCTAATGACTTTTGGGTCAGAAACGACTTCACCTCCTGGTCCGACAAACGTTGTGTGGAAATTGAGTACTATATCTATGAAAAATATGACATCTACAATTGAATCGACAACAAGTAGTGAGACATCTTCGGATGTTTTATTTTTAAAAGCTACGTTGTATGGGACCATAATGGCTGTGTAGAATGTGAGGCATAGAATGACCCAGTCCCATATCGCCTTGAAAGCGCAATAATGGAGTAATATGTGGGGTGGTGTCTTTGGCGCTTCTTGCCTGTACTGTGGCATCACATCTGCACTCAGGGACATCATCTAAAGATAAAAAAATATTATTTGATTACACATTATTACCAATTAAATTCAAGTACACTAAACACAATTAGAACCGGATATTTAACAAAAATCGTTATAATACTTGCATGAGCAAGGTGCGATTGTTTCGATGTGTCTTTTAAATTTGGTAGATGAGATGAAAATTGAGAAACCAGTACTGATCTGCTTCTTGTCACTGAGCGTGCCAACTTTGCAAATTTGCTTAAACCTAATAAGAAAAATCACTCTCACTTTATGAAAATAAAATTAATTTTTATCTAACGAACCTCCTTTTGTGTCTTCTGTTTCTATTGGTTGTTTCAGAGCTGTGATGTCCCTGAATGTTAACAGGAATAGGACGACAAGGTCCCGCTCGTTTTTTATCGGAGCTATTTGTAGTAACAGCCATAATGGTGTTTCTGCACGTTTAAAAAAATACAATTATAAAAATAATCAAGTGAAAAAATGTTATAAATTATTGTTTATGGGTAAATGCAACTGGATTAGTACAATTAGAAACGACAATCGAGCACATTGCAAGTTTACAGGACAAATTTGCAAGTGAAAAGTTGAAACTCATTACATGGTGGAAGATAACTTGGAAAATATTTGTCAATAAAAACAAACTAAAAAAATTTCTGTTATATATGTGTATAAATGTAATTAAAAACTTTATTTGAGATGGAAAAAAAATTACTTTGTAAACTAAACACATAAAACTAGATGAAATTACCAACTGTGAAATAATACTTAAAATACAAAAATTGAAATCGTACATAAAAACCTATAATTGTAAATCTCATAATTAGAAAAAATGTATGAGCCATAATTTTTTTAAACACCAAAAAGTTCTAAAAATATCTAACAGGGAAATTGATCAAAATTGGTGTGGAATAAACAGAAGTTAAATTTAAAAAGTATCAAAATAAAACATTTCAAAATATTGAACAAATTTGTATTGTCAAGTGATTTAAAACTAACAAACATATTAGAAAATTTAAATCACTGAGTTAAATAGTCTTCATATTCTACAGGCTTAAAAATGAGACCTTATAATAACTATAATGATTAACAATAATTCACTTAATATATTTTTATTAACCCAGGAGTGGTTGCTATATGAGATCTCTTGCAAAAATGTTGTTTTCGTACTTTTTAAACCTTATCTTAATACATAGTTGCAACTGCATTTCTCCCCAGTTTCTTTTTAAAACAACATTTAACTTACACAGGAAGATTAGTGCCCTGTTTTGCAACAATTTGTCTTTAACTTAATTCTGTTTCTGTGAGACATTCTCTCATCGCACAACCGACTGTTTCTAAAAATGCTACTGTTAAATGGTTTGTTTTGTTCATTTTCCTTTAAAAATGTGCCATTGGAAATGAATTGCTTCAATAAAGAACAAAAATTGTTGAAACATTGACAAAACATAAAGGATAAATTGCTTCAATTAATTATTTTTGAATTATACATACATATTGGGTTGTCCGGAAAATAATGCAGGATTTTAAGTTTTCATTAAAAAAAATCTATATAAAATATTCTGTTTACGTTTACAGGATTACTCATTTGTATGAATGTCAACACTTATTAATCCTCTTCCAAATGATATTGTTTGTTTACCTCTGTAGCATTCCGCTACTTGGAAATAATTCAGTCATCCTTATAATGTCAAAGCGAGAATTTCGTACGATTTTCTTTTACGAGTTTAAACTCGGCCGAAGCGGAGCCCAAACGGCTAGAAACATTAACCAAGTCTGGGGCGAGGGTTGTGTTAATGAGTGCACTGTGCAAAGGTGGTTTAAAAAATTTCGGGAGGGAGATTTCAGCCTTGAAGATGAAGAAGGTCGTGGAAGGCCTTCCTCTCTTAATGATGATGTTCTGCGATCAGTGGTGGAAGAAAACCCCAAAACAACTGTTCGAGAACTTGCAGAGCAACTCAAAGTCAGTAAAACGACCGTCGCTGACCACCTCAAGGCGATTGGAAAAGTGAAAAAACTCGAAAATTGGGTTCCACACTCATTAAACGATCGCCAAAAAAATCAGCGCTTTGATGTTTGTGCATCACTTCTTTGTCGAAACAAAAATGACCCATTTCTGGCCAGAATTGTTACATGTGACGAAAAGTGGATTCTCTACGATAACACTAGACGTTCTGGACAGTGGCTCGACAAAGGAGAAGCTCCAATACATTTTCCAAAGCCCCCAACTCATCAAAAAAAGGTAATGGTTACGGTATGGTGGGCTTCATTTGGTTTAATACACTACAGCTTCTTAAATCCTGGCGAAACCATCAATGCTGAATCATACTGTAACCAAATTAATACCATGCATCAGAAATTGGCAGTAATGAAGCCCTCTTTGGTCAATCGGAAAGGGCCCATTTTGTTGCATGACAACGCTCGACCACATGTGTCACGTGTAACGTCACAAAAATTATTGGAGCTTGGCTATGAAACTTTGCCTCACCCACCCTACTCTCCGGACCTCTCGCCTACTGACTACCATTTTTTTAGACACCTGGACCTCTACTTACAACACATAATATTCAAAAATCAAACGGAACTGGAAAATGCATTTATTGACTTTATCAATTCTAAAAATTCTGAATTCTACTCAGACGGAATTAATAAGTTACCAACACGTTGGGAGAAATGTATTGAGAGTATGGGAAATTATTTTGATTAAAGAACATTGCTTTAAAGTAACTAGTTTCTTTTTTTTTGTTTAATACCAAAATCCTGCATTATTTTCCGGACAACCCAATAGAATAGCATTATAATCATGAATACTATGTTGGCCTATTCACTGATTGGTATGTTAAGCTTCTTTTAATACGACAAAATATAAATTTTATTATTTATTCCACGTTTCATGAAGATTGAATCCATCCTCCTACCTCTCAGAGAGGCTAATTCGAGTAAAGCAATAGAACAAATACTCCAAACCATTAGAAATGAAAGCTGGTGTTCCCTAGGGAAGCGTCTTAGGACCAATACTTTATCTGCCATACACCAGTGACCTGCTACTAACAGAAACCACAACTATAGCAACATTCTGGCAGCTCTCTCAGTGGACAATGGTATTGATGCATCGCCAAGAAAACTGCAAAATATGAGCAACCGGATTGATAGCGTTTGTAAAATAGCAATAAATTAGTATAATTCTGTATATGCTAATTTGACAAACAATTATCGAGATGAACAGCAAAATAGTGCCAACACAGAACAAAGTGAAGAATCTAGGCATAACGTTAGATTGTAAACTGAACCGGAGAAATTTTAAAAAGAGAACAGAACTTTATACCAAATATGGACAACTGTATTGGCTTTCGAGGACTTTTTTAATTTATAACCAGATCCTTAAACTGATCTGTACCTATGACATACAGTTTTTGGTTGTGCTAAAAAAGTAACATAGCTGTTTTTCAAAAATTACAAAATGAATTATTACAGAACATGTTCGATGCCACTTTTTACGTATTAATCAGGACCTGAGGAAACTGGACATCTTTACTGATGTGTGATATGCCCAAAACGTATAAATCTCATCTCCAAGGATATCCAAACATCACAGCAAGCCAGCTAAAAGAATAACTGCACCCTGTGAGACAACTAAGAGGACCGAGGACGAACTTGCTTCCTAGACTTTAAATTTGAACATTATTACTCTAATAAGAATATCAGTGGGTGAAACCGAAATGTAACTTTGGTGTATAAGGATTTAGTTACATTTTATAACATGACAAAGGGTAGACTGGAATCTATGGACTAATTAAAATCAACTTATCCAGTTTCTAGAGAGAAATGTTGCAGGCTCTTCACAGTTTATTTACTTAGACAGATAATTTATTTCAGCAAGTCCTAATCAGAGATATAATTATGCAAAGTAATAATTAATCATTAATTAATATTAAAACATAGAAATAACTGAAATACTATGTAAATATTTAATAATATGAATAATAAACATAAAATTTTTATTCAATTGTAACATTATTATTTATTAATAAAGAAAAGAACTTTGAGAAAAAAATCTCATGTGCGACTAACGGCATGATGGATGGATAGCCTAGCAACCACTCCCAGGTGAAATATTGATTTTTAGCTGAAAGACAAAAGATTTGTGCAATATTCTTATTAACAATATCTAACTTTCACAAAATAAATAATTAAACAATTACGTTAACATAAAAATTAATGTTTATTCTGATTGCTCAGTAAGCTTGAAGCTTGACAAAATTAAAACAAGCGCGCATTCATTGGCACTCAATTGAAGATCAGTAAAAACATTATGAGTCAAATTGGTTTTTCAGCTCAAAAATTGTCAACATTTGTTTTTGGGGTTAAAATGACTTTGATTCAATTGTGTATTTACAAACCATGGTCTGTATGGTAAAATTGGCTATTAGGTCAAAGAATCAAAGTTATTTTGTTCATCCCATTAGTAGTAAAATACAAAAGAAAATTTATTATGGCTTTGGACGTAGCGAATTTGCATTCTAAGCATTCTTAAACTCACTACTTCTTCAAAATGAATGTTCTTATTTCCTGTCAATGAACAAAATATGATTATACCTATCAGGTCTTATAAACACTAAAACACCAATCTCTAGACATCTTCAAATGCTTGTTAACATTTATTAAATAAGACACTGACCATGCCCATTTATCAAAATCTCCAAAAAAAAAGTCAATATGCAAAACAAAATGCCCTAAGTCTCTACTTACCTTCGTTTATTTGCTGGAGTTATTATCTATTTTGTTTTAAGTTTTTCAATATTATTTAATTGTCTTGAAAATGTTTCAAAACGTAAATTTTTTTGTTAACATGTTAGAGAAAGAGTTATGAGAATAAGTCAAACATACCTTTCGGAGTGCCTGCAGCCAGAAGAGGTAAACAAAAAATAAATCGGTTTAAATATTGCAGCATAAGGAAGTATGGTTGTTTATATAGTTGAGGGATTCCTCTATATCAGATCTTGAACTTTCTAAATTACTTCTATAAACTTTTATAGTATTATTGGTGTCATTTTAAATTTCACATTTACTATTTTCTTCTGTTATGTTTTCATAATATAGTAAATGTGATATAACAAGTACATTGTTTAAAATAATAAAAAATTTAATTTATAACAAATTTATCTTTATAAAAAGTAAACTAAATTAAACAAAATGTAAATAACAATTTTTTGTTGTTTAGATAATCATTAGCAATTAACAATATATATTCTCTATTTTCATTAATAGGTACATTATCATTTCTTTATAATTTTTTTCAAAATACGCGTGAAAGACAAGAAAAAGAAGGAAAACTTGAAGAGGGCCAGTGATGACTTCAGCTGTTTGTCAGCCCTTAAATCTCCTGCATTATATTTTTTTAAACTGATTGTTATTTACATTTATATGCAATTTTAATACTTTATAAATAACATTTGTAAACATGGATTTATTTTAACCAAAAATTAACTAATGTTAGTTTGTATTATTTAAAATATCGAATCTTGATCCAAATTAATGTATTAATTTGCAAATATGTAGGATGAAAGGAAAAAGGATATCATAGCAAAGAGTAAATAAAGAATTAGTCATACTAAAGATTGCGCATAATAAATAGTACTAGTCTATTCATTATGCCTAAAAATAAAGGAGAAAAATTTGAAGCCAAAAATTACAAATTTAAACTATTTTTCCAAAAAAAAAAAAAAAAATGTAATAGATTTAAAAATGAAATCAAAATGCAAATATTAAGATTAAATAGAAATTAAGCATGCGTTCAAGAACAATTTCTATTATAAGTTCAAAAATATGTTTTACAAAGATTGTTAAGAAAAATTATGAGCAAGCGAGAATAAAAGCCTTTAAAGCTTTTCAAATTGAAGCAAGCAAATCAATCCCGAAGCCATGCTTTCATCTTTATTTGTAAATTTGATTGCTTTATTATTTGTTATTTTCCATAAGTCATTACTGCCTTAACATAGTGTACATTTTTACAGTAATACTTGCAGTATTATTTTTATATTTTTCCCTACAGCTTACAAGAAGTTTTACTACACTACAGTCACAATTTTATATAATTAGTAAACTAATATTTCAGCAGTCAATAGAACACTACTATTCTTACAATGCAATAGAAAGTGTAAAAACATACTCATAGGTGGTGGTTCTGTAACCTTAAGGGTAAAACTTCCTAAAAGAAAATTAAGTTACTGTTAATGTAAAATGTTCTGTATCATAAATGGCATTAAAGATTTCATGTATTGTAATAATAGCGCTGAGCTAGTCTAAAGAGCTTAGTTCTTACAAAAATTAAAGTATTAACATCATTTAAAAAAAAATTATATAGACTGGGGACTAATGACAATTGTATTTCCTGATTGTCACATTTTTGTTTCTGTAGTTCTTGAAAATTTGAAATATCCAAACAGTTGATGCACTCATGTTTGCAGTGTGCTGAAGTTCATGTTGTACATACTTTACGAACGGTCGGTGTGCTGCCAAGAAGAAAATAGTACTAGTACATAGAAAGTTTATTAATATGTTTTATGACCAAGTACAATTAAGCAACAATCAAACAAAATATTTTAGATATTTTTGAAAATTCACACTTCCTTATCACCCTAGATTGAGAACCACTTTTATTCATGATTTATTTTTCAATTATAACGTTCCTCCTATTTGAAAATGATTGAAAAGTAGTGTTTTATTTGACACAAACTTTAGAAAAAAAATATGTTAAGTTTTTATTATTACATTCATTTTATAATAATCGTTACAGTACTTGCAAAATTAAATAAGGTACATTTTTAAATTTTTTATATTTATCTGTTCCAATTTTTGATTACAGATAAAATAAAAGTACATTTTTGAATTTTTTTGGTATTATTTGTATTACAAAACCGTATTTTTTAAATTAGTGTAAATGAATAGCAAATTAAAAAGTAAAAAATAACAGTTAAAAGTAAATTTTTGTTAATAATATTTTATAAACTGTTGAAGCTTTTATCATAAAATATTGCACAATTGATCAGATTATAAAAATGCTAAGGCAATTTGCATAAAAATTATTCGTCTCTCATATCTTACATATTCATTGATACTGACAAAAATTTAACACATAATAACATTGGTTTTTGCGATTAGAGTAGAGTAACATTATTGGTTTGTTGCTATACTAATACACATTTATGTTTTGATTGTTATAAATGTTACAACTTACATTAAGTGATGATCAAACAGTTAAGAATATGGCAATAGTAATCTAAGGAGATGGTTATACAATGTTGTATGTACTTGGAGATGGTTTTGTAAAAGCTTTAGTTGTTATTGTATAGATCCTGTGTGGAACATAACTTGCACGTAGCAAAAGCCTTCTTTGAGCCCTTACCATGTCATTACACGTGGTTAAAGTTTGTGCAGTTGTGAACTGGTGCAAAAAATAAAAAATGGTTGAAATCTACATATACACATCTTACCAATTAGAATTGTGCTCTCTTCTACATCGTGTCAGTTACTAAACAAGTTAGGATTTGCAGAAAATATTTCATAATTGAACACTATGGCATCACACTACTTGAAAGATAGATAATAAAAAAGACATTATAATATAAAAGGTAGATTGTGTTAAATAAGCTACCAAACACAAACAGTAAAAATTTTCAAAAGAAGTTCAATCCGTGAGAAAAGAAATTTTTTAAAGGCAATTGTATGAAATATCTGGATGGGGGAGGAGAAATTAAGTCTGTTTAATTTGTAGGGACAAAAAAATCTGTTTTTTATTTAAATTGTTTACCTAAAGTGGTTAATAATTTAATCCCAAACCGGATATACATTTGTGTAATTAATCCTTGTTAAAATAGAAAATAGTTATCTATCTATTCCTCTAAAAACATATGTGCATCATATTCTATAACAACATACAATTCGGTATTACACCATTATTAACTAGCTCTTTTATGCAAAAGTAAACAAATATAACAATCTGTAGAGTTAGACATCTTCTTAAACAACTATTAAACATTTATTAACTCTACAGATTGTTTCAAATTGTAAGACTTTACACAAATAAAACAAAACAAAACAAAAAAACAACAAAAAAACAGAAAAAATGCAACAGGAAACTCACTATTTTTTTTGTATAATAAAATTTCAAACTGATCGTGAAGTTGGGATTCTAGGCACTCATCGATTCTTGATATTGTCTCCTTATCTGTCAGTTCGCCGTACATGAAAGTGCACCTACAGGATTTCTGCATCACCTGCAAATAACGGAGTATGGGAATTAAAGTTGTTTGTCTCTATTTCAAGTGCGACAATTAACACAATAGGTTGTCCCATTCAAGCAACAAGTGAACTGGTTAGCAAGTGTCATCTCAATGGATGAGAGGATCAAGTATCTTAAACAGTCTGTGGGCCATCAAAGTGCCTGTCAGCATACTAACATTTAAGTGCAGCCAATACATTGGCAAAGAGTTAAGTTTAATTATCATGATGTTATACAATACAATATTTATTTTAATAGAATACTCCTATGAATAAATATTATCTATTAATTTCTTAATATTTTTTTAAATTATATAAAAACATTACAGTACATAATAACTAGGTATAAAGATTAATAGTTGACTTAAAATGGAAACACAACATTAATAACTTGTTCTTTACCTTTATAGAGTGTTACTAATCCTTTTTCACTCTTTAGATGAAAAGAAAAGCAGTTCAATTTCATCCTTTCCAGAGCCAACTTGTCGAGTAAGAATTGGCTTTTTAAATTGATTTCTTTGATGAAACAATAAATTTGAGAAAACAAGTTTTTTAGCCATGGCTTTAAGTCAAAAAGATCTTGCCCCAAATGCTTTGGGCAAAGACAAACTTAATGCTCTTTACAGAGTCTAAGTCTTGGGAGCCAAGGAAGTCTCGATCAGTAGTAGTGGTCGACTGCAATGTACTTTGGCTAGAGATCATTTTATTGCTCTTTCTTCTCTACAAAACTGTCATAAAGCTTCCTTGATAAGAAGGTACTCTCAGTTATCGGGTTTGTGGTCAAGATAAACATCAAGTAATTAAGGTTTTTAGTTTAGTTAAGATAAAAAAGTTAAGTCAGTTCGAATCAGCTAGATACGCCGCTGCTCTACCACTTGAGCTATTGTGTCCTCGATCCACTCGAGTGGTAGAGCAGCGGTGAATCTAGCCTAAGATCGTGGGTTCGAATCCCGCTCATGCCATTGACTTTTTTATCTCAACTAAAAACCTTAATTAATTGTAATATGTTAATTGGTCAAGCAGACCACGAAATTAGTGAATTTAATAAACATCAAGGCTTTGTTTTATTGCCAAGCTTTCGACTATATATATATATATATATATATATATATATATATATATATATATATATATATATATATATATATATATATATATATATATATATATATATATATATATATATATATATATATATATATATATATATATATATATATATATATATATATATATATATATATATATATATATATATATATATATATATATATATATACTTTCTCAAGGTGCTACAATGACAAAAATCTATTTTCAATACAGTAATTCAAGAAGAAATACACATTTTTTTGTTTCGGACTAAAAACGATGTCATAAATTTCTGCGAATTGCGAATTGCAGCTCGAGTTGTCACCCATTACTTGCGAGATGTAGGGATTACTACAATTAATCAGCCAGCACATTCTCCAGAAATGAATCTTATGGACCACTTATGGTACATTATTAAACTTTAGACATCATTCCCCTTCTCCAACAAGTTTCGAAAAGTTTCAAACCACTCTTGTTGAAGAATGGGATTCTATTTCACAAGACGAAATCCGATTGCTAATTTATTATGATTATTATGCAAGGATGGAGGTGGTAATATTATTGAGATTATTAAGAGCAAAACTAGGTAATAAATTTTTAATTAAATTTTAATCTATCCTAAATAATTTTCCAGTGTTTTGATGATTTTTTTTCAAACCATCATATTTAAATAATTTTGATCAAAAGTCATGAATTTCTGAGCTTGTATAATTTGGTTTACATTAAAATAAATATGTTGTAATTAATATAACGATAGAAATTCATATATTTTGAAATAAACAATGAAATACAAGTGTCGGGTTCTTTGTCTTTGAATGTATTAGAAGCTACAGCTAAGCTGAAATAATCAAGGCTAAAAGTTTAAAAAAAGTTAGAAGTTGCCTATCTTTATAAACAAGATATAAGACAAAAATAATCAACTTTGGTTTTAATCTAACAAGTAGTTCAAAGAAAGGATTTCTTTCTTGCATATATATATGCAGGGTGGGTGACCAAGACCCGAGGGGTTAAATGCCTGGGTAGACTCATACCCCATCCCTAAAAGGTCTGGGACTTGGTCGGCCACACAGTAGTAACACTGTGTCGAGAGCAGGTAGCCAAATTCAATTTGGACCAATTTATAACTTTTAACCCCTTCACCAATAATGGCACAACTACCTGCAATCAACACCCTTTGGATCGACCCGAAAGAATGAAAAACTTAAAGCACCAAAGACTTCCTGTTGTAGCTTTTGCATTAACTTGTTTAATTAAGTAAATTACAAAATAATTAAAACTTTAATCTTACCTCTGCCCTGTTGTAGCCAGAGATTTTACAGAACGACTCGTTACAGTAGACTATCGGAAAGTCCACAATCTGTGCATTTGCCAGGAGAAAACTGCTATCCGCTGAAACAAGGTAGAAAAAAATTAATTAAGTCAGAACGGCAATCAAAAAAATTGTTTTTATTTGTCTATTACTGCAATAGAAGGAACAATGGTTAATCAGGCCAGTTATTAGTAACCTATGTCTGAAAAAAAATGGGTGAAGCTTGTCCTAGACCAACTGTGAAGTCCTTTGTTATTATTTAATGATTTTTTAAATACTTTCTTTAAAATAAATGTATTAGCCGCTTCATCAGTGAAAGAATGTGATCACAGCTGAGATTTTTTTTCATTGTTTTTAATTGAATTTTGAATGACTTAAAAATATTTGCATTCATTTAGAAATACAGTGATTAAACACTTATAAACTTATATGTGTGAACATAGAACTCCAATGCTTTTAAAAGAAATGTTAAAATATTTGCAGCACAATGTGAGCAACGGAACATCACGGCCAATTTGAGCAAGTAAACAATTACAGTTTTTAGAAGAGGAGGAAAACTGGTGTCTAACGAAAGGTGGTTTTATAAGAATCAATGAGTTGAAGTCGTCCCATATTGTCATGTATTATACTGCACACTTTAAAAACTGTTGTATTCCCCATTGTGTGCATAAAGCACACCGGTGAGCCCTACTTCCTCCTGCAGCACCACAGTTTGTTAGTAGGTGTGTTGGTGTTTTCTCTGCAAGTTGGGTTATGCCAATCTTCTCCAGATGCCCATTTAGTTTGCAGCGTCCTTTTAAGAATCCTGTTAAGATTTGCAGTTTTTTCCTGCTTCCTCTAATTCATTCTGTTACCTCTTTCATTACAAAATTTGCTAAAAGGATTGTTTTTGTCCAATGAGTAGTTAGTACCATATTTTCTTTTTATCCTTCTGCTTAAGGTGCTCATTGATACTGCGTATTTATATGCCACAAAAGGGTTCAGGTCCTATCAGCGATACAGCAGCCCCTTTTCTTGAAAGGGTGTCCGCTTTTATGTTGCCTTCTACTCCCACATGTCCTGGAACACAGCAGAGGTTGACTTTGTTTTGTAGTTTAATCGGTTTAGTTTAGTTTTGCAATTCAGCACCATCATTGAGCTATACAACCTTACTACCGCTAAACTGCAAGAAGTCAATATAGACGACTGCATAAAACTCTGGACCTTTATCCCAACCGCCTAGCCCAATGCAATTCAACCTGAACTCTTCTTGACAATCCTCTGAGATGCCTAGCGGTTTGCACACCCTACTGAGGAAAGTGAATAGTGCGACTGCAAGTGTCAGTACTGTGAAACGAGTGTGATTAATAAATTACATGGTCACTATTTATAATCTTATAATATAAAGTTTATATTGACAAAGAGTTCTAGCGCTGTTATAACATAATAATAATTATAATATAAATATAATTAACTGATTTTTTTAAAATAAATGCTATTTCTTTTAAGAATGGGATTTTATTTAGTGGTTAATACATAAGCACGAGAACCATGCTAATACCATAAAACTGATAAAGTGCTCAGGTTTAATCAATAATAGGAGGGAGCAGAAACACGGCGCTTAATGCTAGACCGACACGACCGATGCAAATTATCGGTTTTAATCTATCTAAAACGCCGTGTTTTACGAACAACAAAGAACAGCCCCTTCTGTTACTTGTCCAGGGGTTGAGTAAATTTTTATTATCGTACAATTTACATTTACAGCGTTTAAAGTCACAACAGTAACTATGTTTTTTAGACGGTTTAAATTTTTAATAAAAGTTTTTAATAATATTAAAGTTTTAATATTTTTTAACGTCCTACTGTTTTTTTATAACTAAAACGACATATATATTTTGTACGTATTCGTTTTTACATTACATGTTTACTATTCAATAGTTCTGTTATTAAATAGACAAATTACTGCAAGAAATTTTTAAATTAATTTAAACTGTTATTTTTTGCGATATTTTGTTGGTCATTTCTTGTGATGAGAAGGTTTCTTTATTTTATTTTGTTATATATTTGATGTTTGTCGTGGTTGTTAAAGTCGTTTTATGTGTGGTCAATTATTTTTCTATAATTTTGTATCAAGGTCTTGTACATTCGTGTATGAAGTGTGTAGCTGAAAGGTTTATTGCTGTTTTGGGTGAGGTTTTATTATTTTGTTTGTTTTATGTCTTCAATTGTCTTGGTTGAATATAGTGTTGTTAACTGTATATTTTGCTATGTGGGATATTTATTTTGATTCTTGTTAGTTATGAAGGTAATTTGATCAAATTATAGTTTCATCGCCGCGCAGAACGCGGGAAACTATTTCACGAATTGTGGAGGTGTTTTGATTTAAGTTTTCCTGTTTCGTATTTTTGTAATATTGTTTTTAAGTTGTTTTTGTTTAAAAAGTTTGAGTTGGAAGTAATAGAGCCTACCGATTTTAATTAAACTTTCTTTAGAGAAATAATAGGTTGAAAAATATTAGACATTCTTCACTGCGTTCATGCCAATGATCCATACGAACGGAGGGGAAATATTTTTTAAGCTAGTTTAAGTAAGATTTTTGGAAGTGTTTTTGTGCATTTGTCGTGCTTGAATGTCAAGCGTTTTAAAGAGATAGGAATATACAGATAATAAATAATATGCAGGATCGTATTAAATAAGATTGAATGTTACAAAGACCAGAAGATATTTCTAGTAACGTAGGTTCAGAAACATTTTTTGTTTTTTAAATAATTTTTGGATATGTTTTAAGCACGCTTTATTCTCATAAAATACGTAATAAAAAAATTGTGCTGGATTTGACGAATTGTTTTAGACGGTATCCAGTATCAACTTAAAGCTTTATGGATCCTCTAGCATCTTATTTAAATTCAACCTTATCACATGTTTCTCAATTAATTAAAGTTTTTAGTTGAGATAAAAAAGTCAGTGTCATGAGCGGGATTTTTATCTGTACTAAAAACCTTAATTAATTGAAAGATATTAATTGGTCAAGCGGGCCACGAAAACTAGTGAATTTAATGGAATAGATTACACGACATTTGAAAAATGGCAAAAAGGAGGGAAAATTCAAAAGGTGGGGTTGAGATGGGAAGTTGGTGCCCGAGTGGATCGAAGTCACGATAGCTGAAGTGGTAGACAGCGGCGTATCTAGCCGAAGATCGTGGGTTCGAATCCCTCTCGTGACGCTGACTTTTTATCTCAACCAAGACCTTACATAAAAAGAATAATTAATTGAAAGAACAAACTTGGTGAATTGACCACTAAAGCATAAATGGATTAATATTTAATAAGTAAAAGAAGTATACATACCAATACCTTACTTAAAGATCAATTAATTGAAAGAAGTTATTTGGTCAATCGGACCTCGAACTCTAATGGATTTAATAAGTTAAATGAATTATATCTTCACTAAAGCTCTTTACACGATATTTGAAAAATTGCGAAAAGGAGGAAATTAAAAAAAGGTGGGTTGAGATGGGAAGTTGGTCGAATCCCGCTCGTGACACTGACTTTTTATCTCAACCAATACCTTACATAAAGATTCGTTTAAGGGTTGAAAAGGGTGCTTAAACTGAGTACTTAGAATTACCAAAAAAGGAAATTGGTCATTGCCAGTCATTTTCGATTATACTGCTGATCTTTATGAAACATTTTGCCATTTCGGCTTCAGTGTTGGGTCTGAGTTTTATATATTTTCCTAGTACTAAATATAAAGTTACCTTCAACTTAAACTTTTAGTCTAAAAAATTGTTATGTCCTTTACTAAAGAATCCAATTTATTTATACGATTTCATTTTTACATTGTAATATTATTCTATTTGTATATATTTATATACAGGGAACTTCGCCACCTCTGAGAGTAGAAATACATGTCTAATTCAACCTCAGCAATGCATAAGTAATGATTATTGATCACGCGGTAATACTTTTACGTAAAGATATTTTATTTAAAAAAATTAAAAAACTTCTATGCGGTAACTAAACGCTACAATGTAAATTTCGCTAATTTTTTGGCAGGACAAGGTATAAAATGTGAGAATGGGCAAAAGCGGTGAGAACCGTTAAGGGATTTTTTTCAACTTCTCATCTGAACTTACAATTTAGCCGAAAGTCGTGGGTTCGAATCCCGCACGTGACACTAACTTTTTCATTTCAACCAATACCTTACATAAAGATTAATTAATTGAAAGAGGTTGTAACAACGTTGAATTCTAATATAATCCAGACTAGCTATGAATTTTGAAGTAGAACACATTATACAGAAAAAATACCCCCCCCCAAAAAAAAAAAAAAAAAAAAATCCTGCTGAAAAATTACTATTCTTTTATGGTATAAAAATTATGTTTTAAAATATAGTTTTGCCCAATCTCATTTAATACTGTCCTGCATATAAAATAATACTTAATAATAATACTTTTTTATACTGCTTTAAAAAAAAGATTAATAAATAATAACTTCGATATTCATGCAAAACATAAGCATAAAACACAGTGGAAAATTTACTTAAATTAGCCAGAATATTTTTTTCTAGGCTACATTAGGCTCCTAGGTCCTATGGCCAAGAACGCTCACAAACCTGAGTAATATTTTTCGACCTATCGACCTATGCTTTGAATATCTGAAAATATTTTATTAAAATCTGTATACTCCTTTAGTTAATGCAAGTTTCACTAACTTCACGTCCATCAATCGAGAGTGCTTAGTTTATATTTTATTAGTTTACAGTGATTAGATCATAGTTGAATGGGCTGTTCGCAAAGTTTTTTATTTCTTTAGTTTAATGTGTATAGTTGAAGTTTGTATGTTTTTTGTTTTATGAGATATACTTTTAAATTCATAGTAGAAAAGCGTAAGTTCTCGAACGTTGTTTATTTCAAAGAATTTGCATTTTCTTACATTTTTATAATTTACTTTATAATAAGAACACTAATTATTAATATTAGATCTGGATTATGAAAAATTCAAGTGTAGCAACAGTAAAGTTTCAAGCTACAGAAATTTAAAATTATGATTTTATGTTTTTTATTTTTTCTGTCATTGCACATCAATGTCAAGATGT